GAAGATGAAGATCTCACACAACAAAGAACACTCACTTAGATGTGTTAATGGCTTCTTGAATGCTCTCTTGAAATCTCAAAAACCTTGAAGAAATAATCCTCTAAGTGTTGCTTTTATAGTCAAAACCCTAATTAGGTCGTTGGTCAAAGTCAATGGACCAACTAGGGTTTTGACCGAGTGAACCGGGAGTGAGTCGGAGCAAACCGGGTGATTTTCCAGTATATCCCGTCAGTCAGTCGACTGACCATATAATTACTGAAAATGCCACTGAAGCCTATAAGGTCAGTCGACTGACCTTATAATGCCAGGTCACCCACAAAGGGTCAGTCGACTGACCCTTTAAGCTCTCCTGCTTTCTTCAACTGTCAGTCTGCCTGCTTCACCTCTCAGCTTGACTTCCTGTTGAGCTCGGTTGCCTCCGTTCATGTCCATTCTTGATGTCATCAGTTCCGTAGGCCTCCGGACACTTGAACACCAAGACCTAGACCTAATACAAGGACTCATACAACTTATACAACAAGTGAAAAGACCATAAAGCCCTTGGCAGTCACAGTTCACAAGATATAACACTTACATATATTATGTTAGATGCTCCGTCAATTCAATTATCAGTTTTGTATGCCACTGATTTTCTATTTCTTGATCATATCTATACTTACCAGGATGTTCCTAATGGTCAATCATAGCAATCAAAAACCAATATATGTTACTTCTGCTAAACAAAGTGAAAGAGCCTACTATATCTCTTCCGCTACAACTTCGGTAAGGCAAAAAAAACTTGACAGAGGTATGTGCAGCTAGCAATCTGAACCGGTTTTAAAACATTATATATTGTGCAAGGAACAGTGTGAAACTTCCCATCGTTTATTTTTATCTTGCAGGTTCACCAGGTCATTTGGAACAACTTGACAAGGGAATGTACTGCAACATATGAGAAACAATTATAAACCTGGAAGATTGCCAATGATTTGTTAATGGGCTGGCCTGAAATAAATACTAGGTTTAAAATCAATGTTTATGGGGAACATTCCTTCACAATGTGTTATGGTGCATTTGGAATCAACTAAACAAGACCATTTTTTGATGAAGTTGAAGTCAGACTAGACTAATTGGTAAAGCACATAAAAACATGTTGTTGTTGAGACAGAAAAGTTTGAACTTGAGGCACATAAAAAATTATAAATATATATAGAATTACACAAGTCCCGTTGCATAGCACGGGTTTAATAACTAGTACTGAAAGAAACACAGATTAAATTTTTTGTACTAACCGGCAGCCATTGTGTAAAATCCATATGGATGTTCTTTGTAATCAAACGTAACATTTCTCTTAGTTCCTCTTCATAATATTTGTACACCAGCATACCCAAGATTGCCCTGTCAAATGCATGGAGTAAGTCATATTGAACCTTTTATATTAATATCTAATTTTACCTTGAAATATTAGTACAGAATAACCCAAGTTCACGAAATGAATGACCCATATGTACATTCATCTCCTGGGTGTTTCTTGTACTGAACTCTTTCTACGAACCTATTATCTTTGACAATATTTGTAAGGATGATATTGATCTATGGTTGAACCATTTCACAACAAACTTCAGTCTCTTACCTCTGAAAAAACACTTCAGTCTCTCATTCTCTCAACATGTCGAGGTCCATAAAAAGAACAGAAATGGACTTATTTTTTCGTGCATATGGCTAAATAATGTGTAATCTTTAAAGGCACCTCAAGGTGTAAGTGTTAATTTACACAA